TATTGGGAGAACACATATTCTCCCAATATTCATGTATTACAAATATAATCTCTAATGCAACTTGCTAAGAGGTGGGACCTAATGGGAAGTGTTTAGATTTAATGAATTAATACTGCTCTGAAGCAGCCTTGCAGGCATATTTTCTCTCTTCTGTGCTTATGCCATGTTAGGACACTCTGTTGCTCTCCTCTGGAGGGTGCATCAACAAGACATCATCTTGGAACCAGAGACAGACCTGCTGGCATCTTGATCTTGGGCTTCTTTATGTCCAGATTGTGAAAGAATAAATTTCTATTAATAAAATATCCAGTTTGTCCTTTCCTTTCCTCTGCCATCATTGTGTGTGTGGTTGACTCTGTTCCTTGCTGTCTCTTCACAAGACTTTCAGGATCAAGAGATTCTGGCCAAGAAACTAAGGCAAATTGTCCCTTTCTTCAGTGAATTTAGATGAAATCTAGTAATAAAATCAGGTACAACTCCAAGAAGAGAACTTGAAGAAGAACCAAGCTGGGTGTCTAAGGAATTGCACGTGAGATGGCATACATATTTATGCTCGATTGAGGTCATTATCATCTTACCATATTAAGCTGAAAATATTTTCATTGGGAAGCTAGAGATGTTTTATTAGGAAAATGATTTTTCTCTTTATTTCAATGTTCTGCATTAGTAAGTTGGCTCAGCAATAAGTATGTGGAAACTTCTATTAGATTAAAAAAAAAATCACTCAGTCTCAGGTATTCCACAAAATGGACTAAGACAGACCCCTTACCTCACACTATAGACAAAAATTAACTCAAAATGGAGCAGAGACCTACAAACAAAAGGTAAAACTATATAATTCCTAGAAAAAAACACAGGGGTGCACCTTCATAATTGTGGATTTGGCAATAGCTTCTTAGTTAAGATATCAAAAGTATAAATAAGGGGCTAGGGTTGTGGCTCAGTGGTAGGTTGTTTGCCTAGCACACTGGGGCACTGGGTTCAGTCCTCAGCACCACTTAAAAATAAATTAAAAAATAAATACATAAATAAAATAAAGGTACCTGGTTCATCTGCAACTAAAAACATTTTTTAAAAAGTATATACAAAAAAGAAAACAATAGATAATTTGGATTTAATCAAAATTAGAAACTGGAGGTTGGGATATAGCTCTGTGGTTAGAGCACATGCTTAGTATGTATAAGGACCTGGTTCAATCCCCAGCACCAAAAAAACCCAGAATTTTTTGCTATAAAAGAATATTGAGTGGACTGGGGATGTGTCTCAAGCGGTAGCGCCCTTGCCTGGCATGCGCAGGGCGCTGGGTTCAATCCTCAACACCACATAAAAATAAAAAATAAAGATATTGTGTCCACCTAAAAAAAAAAACTAAAAAATAAATATTAAAAAAAGAATATTGTGAAGAGAGGGAAAAGAACTCACAGAATGAGGGAAAATATTTTCAAGTCACATATCTGATAAGAGACTTCTATCCATATCCAGAATATATAAAACACACAACAGCAAAAGACCAACAACCCAATTTAAAAATGGGTGAAGAATTTGAGTAGACATGACTCCAGAGAATATTTATAAATGCCCAATAGACACATGAAACCATGTTCAGTACTATTAGGAAAATAAATATCAAAGCCCATTGAGATACTACTTCAGGCCCACTAGGATTGCTATAGCTGGGAAAAAAAAAAAAAAAAGAAAAGAAAATCAGCAAGTGCTGGTCAGGATGTAGACAATGGAACATCATACATTGCTGGGTAGGAATGTCAAGTACAGTCTGTGGAAGAAAGTTGAGCAGGTCCTCAACAAACTGAACACAGAATTATCACATGATGCAGCAATTCCACTCTAATTATACACCCTGAAGAATTAAAAGCAAGTGTTCAAATAAAGCTTGTATAAGAATGTTTGTAATAGCACCATTCACAATAATCAAAAAGTGGGAGCACCAAGAGTCCCATCAACAAATGAATAGGTAAAAAAAATGTTTATCCAGAGAGTGGAATTACATATAGCCATAAAAAGGAATAAAGTTCTGATATATGCAACAACATGGATAACCCTTATGCTAAGACACAAAAGGCCACATGATCCTATTCATAAAATACATAAAATTTTAGAGGCACAAAGCAGATTAAAAAAATTACTTGGGAAGTTGAGGTAGGAGAATCACAAGTTAAAGGCCAGCCTGGCATTTAAGTGAGTCTTTGTTTCAAAATTCAGTTCAGAGAGATTCAGAAAATTATTAAACATGTTTTCTTAAACTGTGTGTGGGAGGGAGAAGAATGAAATTAAAACAATGACAACATTTCTGGGTTTTTCTAATGCTTTTCCTTTGAGAAATAAATATCTATTATTCTGATTCATGAGCCTCATGAAGTAAGCTGTTTAAAGATAGGCAGTTCAGGGGCTGGGGTTGTAGCTCAGTGGTAGAGCACTTGCCTAGCATATGTGAGGCATTGGGTTCAATTCTCAGCACCACTTATAAATAAATAAAAAGGTTCATTGACAACTAAAAATATATACATATTAAAAAAATATGCAGGGGCTGGAGTTGTGGCTCAGTGGTAGAGTGCTCACCTAGCATATGCAAGGCCCTGGATTTGATCCTCAGCATCACATAAAATAAATAAATAAAATAAAAATATTGTGTCCAACTAAAAAATAAATATTAAAAATAAAAAAGATATGCAGGTCAAACATAAACCCTGAAGTCTTATAAATTGTCATCAGGAAATGTTTCCTGAGATTAAGATAATAGTGGAGTGATCCTTGTCCTGGGTGTCATGCCTAAGATTAGGCCTATTACCCCACACAAAAACAAACCCAGCAATGCAGGGATGGTAATCAGAGAAGGCAGGAGGCAGTGAAGTGAGATACACCCCCACAGACCAGCTAGGAACTGGAATACACCCAAGAGAAAAGGCTTTAGACTTAGGATGGGTTAGGACAGAGGGTGGGATGAGCTATAGCGGGAAACTCTGGAGTGCCAGGTAGCCACACCTTTTGTACTCAGGGCTTGCATAGCTACTGCCCATTTGGGGAAGTCATATGCCTCTACCGTGTGAAAACCAAGAGCATGTGCTTGCCCACTTGAGCATGTGCTTGCCCTTTCTTGCCTAGCGTACGCACTCATATAACAGTCAACTGACTTCCGACAAGCTGGGGGCACATGCATGACCTTGGGAACATGATGCCTGCCCAGTAAATCTACTGGAGAGAGCACCGGTCCTCTTTCTGGAATGAAACATCATTTCTGGAATGTGGGGAAGGATAGGTTCACCTTCAAAGGATAGGTTTCTTCCATAGCCCCACCCACTAAAGAGGAGGGAAAATTGATGTCCTAATGGCTTGGCAAGAGGGATATTGGGTCTTCTGGGTCAGTTGTAGGTCAGGGGCCCTTTTACAACTATCCCCCTCTTGTTTCCCAATAATGGAAGTATTCCAAACAAAATTCTGAAAGGAAAGGTTAGCTGGTATAATCAATGTCAGTTCTATTGTACTCAAGGACTTCCTTTAGAAAGGTGTGCTCTTGATGTTAGAAATGTGAGCCATAAATAATGCAGTCTATTCAACTGCAGGCCTGTGTGTGGTTTATACTCAAAGCCTTGCAAGAAAAGTAAATGAGAAAGTCACAAACCCTAAATGACTGTATTTCTTAAGTTTCTTCTTTTACTTTTTTTGCTGGGGGTTCAGGGATTGAACCCAGGGCCTTCCACACTCTAAGCATAGGCTCTACACCTGAGCTATCCCTTATCCCCTAGTCTTCTTTTCAATTTTGGCTTAGGCATGTCACAAGCTAAATACCTAAAGATTAGCCAGTAAATCTGGGCATGGTGGTGCACACCTGTGATCTTGGTGTCTTGGGAGGCTGAGGCAGGAGAATCAAAAGTTTGAGGCTCAGCAATTTAGTAACCTCTGTAATAATAATAATAATAATAATAATAATAATAATAATAATAATAGCTGGGAGTGTAGCTCAGTATAGAGCATCCCTGGGTTCTATCTCTAGTACCCACCCCCACCCCACCCCCCTACAGAAAATCCTCAAACTAGCCAATAAACAAATTGTATAACATAAAGAACAAACACTTGAATTTATTGTCCTTACTGGGATTCCTCAAGTGTAGATATTATTTCCAAACTACTTCCTTACACCACATACATGCACATTGTGACCCACTTAGCTACGTAACTGGCCTTTCTGTTTTTTCTTTGGAGTTGTCAAAAGTCAGTATTCTTTAATGTCTGGCCTTTGTCTTTTTTAAAAAATTTAGTTGTAAATGGACATAATACCTTTATTTTATTTGTTTTATTTTTATGTGGTGCCAGGGATCAAACCCAGTGCCTCACGCATGCTAGACAAGCACTCTACCATTGAGCCACAACCTCAGTCCCTGGCCTTTATCTTACCTACATTAATTTAAGAGATTTTAAGTGATGGTAAAATGTCATTGACCTTGCCCTTCTGTTCATTTTATAACACAATTCCCAAGTTTATGGACATACTGAGAATATTCTCTTATAGGATCCTGGAGGAAAAAAAAGCTTTCTTTCTATTTACATGTGTATTGTACAATATATTCATTTCACATTTAGTAAAAATTTTATATATATTGAAAGTCAATATATTTACGTTGATTATGATCATGGCATGATAGAATTTATTCCATGACCTTAGTGGGGATAGCTGTAAGGCTGGGACTTGTCTCTCTCTCCCTGGGGTTTCTCATCGCTAGGCAGCCTGCTTAAACTTCTGGCCTGGCAGTGTTATTTTAAAAGGGTGAAGGCAGAAACTGCCAAGAATCTGAAGGCAAAGGCTCTGGAATTCACATAGCATCACTTCTGCTGCTTTCCATTGGTCAAAGCAAATCATAAGGCTTGTCCAGACTCCAGGGGGTTGACTAATGGAATCCACTTCTTTTCTTTCTTTCCTTCTGTGTGTGTGTGTGTGTGTGTGTGTGTGAGTGTATGTGTGGTACTGGGGGTTCAACCCAGGAACACTCTACTACTGAGCTAAATCCCTAGCCCTTTTTAGTTTTCCAGACAGGATTTCATTGAGTTGCCCACTCCGGCCTCAAACTTTGATCCGCCTGCTTCTCCTTCCTGAGTAGCTGGGATTACAGGTGTGCCAATTTTTATTCTTTACGAAGAAAAATAGTATGAATTTTCGACAGTGAATTTTCCTCACATCTGTTCTTTTTTACTTTTCATTGAACATGTTGGCTCATCCTATACTTTGTGATATATTGGGAAATAATACCTGCATCTGTTTTGAGATGCTGATGACTTTCAATTGTCCCAGTACCTGCAGATGCTTATGATTATTTTCTTTATTTATATTTCCCTGAAGCTACAGTGAGGCATTACTGGGTTCTGTGTAGCAAATTCAATCTCAAGTTTTCTTAAATTAGCTTAAATTCCAGAAAAGAATGAAAACTCACTTTGCATTAAATGCTTATAAAATTATTTGGAAATATAAACATGATAAGGATTATAGGTCTGTAAGGCACTTGGAATATAATGACTGGAATATTTCTGAGTTCGGGCTTTTTTTTTTTTCCTAATGTGGTGCTAGGATTGAAACCAGGACCTTGAGCATATTAGGCAAGCACTCTACCATGGAGTTATACCCCGCCCCTCTTTCTTTCTTTTTTTTTTTTTTTTTGGTACTGGGGTTGAATTCAGGGGCACTCAACCACTGAGCCACATCCCTAGCCCTATTTTGTATTTTATTTAGAGACAGGGTCTCACTGAGTTGCTTAGCTCTCCACTTTTGCTGAGACTGGCTTTGAATTTGTGATCCTCCTGTCTCAGCCTCCCCAGCTTCTGGAATTACAGGTGTGTGCCACCACGCCCAGCTTTTTTTTTTTTTTTTAAGAAAGAGAGAGAGAGAGAGAGAGAGAGAGAGAATTTTTTAATATTTATTTTTTAGTTTTCAGTGGACACAACATCTTTGTTTGTATATGGTGCTGAGGATTGAACCTGGGCCGCACGCATGCCAGGCAAGCAAAGCACGCTACCCCTTGAGCCACATCCCCATCCCCCCCCCTTTTTTTAAGGCAGGGGTCTAAATTGATCAAGCTGGTCTCTGGCCTCCCAAGTAGCTGAGATTATAAGCATGCACCACTGCGCCCACCTTTTCCCTTTCTTATGATTTCTGTAGATTTTGTTTTCTCCTCATTTCATTAATGGTAAGATGTTAAGTACAACAATATAAGAATTAGTTTAAACATCTACAAAGTGCAAGTTTGCACTAGGTAATCTCTTTGATTCCATGGTTTTCTTTGCCATCATGGGAAACATTTGTGATTTATCCAAGTGAGTTTATTAAATTTAATGTTGAAGAATGTTAAAGAATGTTTTGTGAAAAGTTTTCTTTCCTAACTTCAACTAGGGAAAGGTTATGTGGTTCTAGTTATAAGATTCTGATTCTTGCGGTTGGGGTCTTAGCTCAGTGTTAAGTGCATGTACACTGTCCACAGCCCAGTGCAGCAGGCCAGTGGGATAAGTAGTCAAGAGACCAAAGAAGACACCCAGAGGTGGAATGGGAGACAGGGTTTACTGAGAAGTGCTTGCAAGGAAGATCCAGTGGCAATGGGCTGGCCAGGTGCTTTACCAGAAAGTATGGTGATGATGGACTGGCCATTTCCTGGTCACCAGGAAACAGTGCCTTCATCCCTCATGATGTTTGGTTTGGGAGTGGCTGGAGCACTGTCCTCTCCATGGTGCTCTGCTCCACACCAGTTACTGCAAGGAGAGAGGTTTCATAAGCTTGGCTACAGAAGAGGTGACATCATGACCTTACCTCGCTTTGTTCCATTGTATGACCAGCATCTCAAGGAACTTGGTATGCACACAGGAAGCAGCTTTCTACAGATAACACTAATTTACCTAATTCCCAGCATACACAGGAGAAAGTCAGTGTTCTTAGAGAGAATACTTATCTGGGTATTCTGGCCCAGACTCGCTCTTAATGTTCTCTTAACCTGACTAGGTTCTTGGGAGTGGAAAGGGTCATTATAGGGACATAGTGTGTTTTTCTGTCCTTTTCTCCAAAGATGGCATAGCATGCTTAGCACGCCTGAGGTTCTGGGTTTAATCTCTAGAGTGCGCACGCTCGCGCGCGCGCGCGCACACACACACACACACACACACAGAGAGAGAGAGAGAGAGAGAGAGAGAGAGAGAGAGAGAGAGAGATGCTAGCTCTAATTCTTTTAATACTTCCTTAAAAATATCACTTCCTATGAAGCTGGGTAGTGTTCAGCTGTAGTCCCAGTTACTGTGTAGGCTGAGGTCAAGAAGGTCACTTGAGTCTAAGAGTCTGAGACCAGCCTAGGCAACAGGTATTTTCCTGTTGCAAAAATAAACAAAACCTCACACAATAATAATTATCTATGAAGAGACAAATTTTTCTAAAATTTAATTATAATAATGCCAGAATTATATAATTTATTATATAATTATAATGCTAGAATAGTTTGTTCTTTAACCCAGAGTGACTTCTGTAAACTTTTTTACCAAAAATATAATTTTCTTGCCTTCTATAGAAATGAGTAATGGGGAGGACTTGCTTTTCTGTTACACTTACTTAGAATAGCCCTAAGGTATACTAAGGTACAAGATCCAAATTGTTCTGGAAAATGCAATACACTGAGTTAATCACACTGGAGTGTAAAAGCCTGACATTATAATGCATTTTTGATAGGGGGTAAAGTGGATCCTGGGAAGTTAACATATTAGTTTGTGCCTTTTCTAGTGAAATGTACCACTGCTTTTGACCTGCATGATGACATAGCATCACCTTTCATTTGTTCCATATGTACTTTCTGGATGCTTTACAGTATATCCTAGCCAAGTATGTGAAGCTGGCAGGTAGGATCATGTCACAGGTTAGGACTCGTGGGTGTGTCTTATTTGGCTCCGGCTTCCATTTCACATTGTCCTTGGTTGTCCAAATTCAGACTTGGAATATAGGTATTGTGGGAGTTAAGCACTTGGCATCTCAAAATATGCCAACGCAGCATATTAATTATTTTGAGTGAAGTACTTGGGAAGCAGCAACTACAGGAAGGGCTATCTGAACTGCCTTTTGCTTACTCACAGTAAATGATAAAATTCCTGTGGGAAAGGTGCCTTTCTGGGCCAAGGGAAGGAAACAACCCTTATCACCGATGACCCGGATGGGTGCTGCAATGGGTCCACCTTGGTTTGGACATGGATCGGGAACCCCCCAAAGTCCATGCATTGGGAGCTTGATCACTAGGGTGGTGGTATTGGAGAGATGGGAAGCCTTTAAAAGATGAAGCCCAGTGGGACGTCTTGGGTCATGGGGGGGCATGCCCTCTAAAGGGAATAAGGTAGTTTCCAGGCAACCCCTTGATAGTTCTTGAGAAAAGCTGCTTATAAAAGAGCAAGCCTGGCTCCTCCGGGCTCTCCAGCTTCCTGTTTGAGATGTGATCCTGTTATGCCAGATTCGTGGGACCCCAATAGACCTGCAGGAGCTGAATCCGATGCAGTCCCACAAGAGTCTTTATTGCAAGCTGGAGCCTGGACTCACAACCGTTCCCAACGCAGCAGGAAGTGAGTGAGTCCTGGTCCTTTGTTCAGTGAGATTTTATAGGTTTTAGGGGTACTCTATGCGTCACAACATCACACAGCAAATCATTCCATACCGCAGGAAAATCAAACAACAACTCTTAACATTGATTAGGACATTCACTGGAGGGAACAAGTTGGGTAGAGGTGATTGGTTAGTACAATAGGGGGATTTGTTTGAACTGATTGATTTAGGCCATGAGGGGTGTACATGCTAAACTACTTGGTTTCCCAACATGTTATCAACCACCATAAACTACCGGGGGGTCATCTGGCATTCCAGGATTTTCCCTGTCTCATGCTGATTGAAGGTTGCTATGGGTCATCTCCTAGCCTGAGTCAGGGACACCTGGTGCCACAGACTTCTGTTATTTACAGACAAACAACTCAGCAGGGTGAGTATGTGCTTAGGAGTGCTCTTTGGGTTTTTCCAAGGACAAGGGTCATGCCCCCTTCCTTGGACAGGCTTTGCTCTGAGGTAGAGGCTGGTTTCTCAAAAATGGAGTCACATTAGTTTCTCAATCCCTTCCCCCTCCACACACCCTCCTGCCACAATGTGGCACCTTTCGGTCCTTATCAGAAATCAAACCAGTGGGTCCTATAATCCTGGACTTTGAACTTCCCAAACCGTGAGCTAAGTAAATATCCTTTTCTTCATAAGTTAGCCTGTCTCTCGTATTTTGTAGTGATGAAAAGCTGACTAATAAGGATCTGTGTAAATTAACTAAAATAACCCATGGGCTGGGGTTGTGGCGCAGTGGTAGAGTGCTTGCCTAGCACGTGTGAGGCCCTGGGTTTGATCTCAACACTGCATGTAATAAATAGAATAAAGGTCCATTGACAACTAAATAATAATAATAATAATAATAATAAAAGAACTAAGATAGTTAAAATAGCTAGAGATGGTCATTGGCCTCCCTTAAAATATGGTAGGTTAATGGAGCTGGGGCTGTGGCTCAGAGGTAGAGTGCTCACCTAGCATGTGTGGGGCACTAGGTTTGATTCTCAGCACCACATAAAAATAAAATAAAGATATTGTGTCCACCTATATCTAAAAAATAAATATCTTTTAAAAATGGTAAGTAGAGGAATTTCCAAAGAAAACTGGGCTTATTTTCAATAAAATATTTCATTGGTTTCTCAAAAGGAGGGCTCCAGGTAACCCTGGAATATATTTGGTAAATAAATGGATTAATTTTGTTTTTGACTCTACAAATTGTATAGCCCTCCTAGAACTGAAAACAAAACTCAAAACAACAATAACAACATGAAAATTAGTCAAAATTAGTTGAACCATTATGTGTAACATCACTAAGCACACAGGTTTCTACACATTAAAAAATGTGAAGTCTTTTGGGAAATATTAACTTGGATTTTTGTAAATTTTTTTATTTCTGGGAATCAAACCTAGGCTTTCACACATGGCTAGGCAAGTGCTCTACCATCTCCTCACCCCAAACCAGTATTTTTAAAGTAAATTCATCAATTAATTTATTTGTTTTGTAGTACTGGAGATAGAACCCTGGGCCTCGGGCATGTGAGGCAAATGCTCTATTGTGAGGTGCATCCTCAGTCCTTGAACCTGGATTTTTGAACTAGTGTGTAGTATTAGAGAGGGCACTTGATTAAGAGTCAAGAGTCCTGGTGTTCAAGTGCAATCTATTTCATTAACTATTTGAAAGACAGACATTAAGCAACCCACTACTTGTTTCAGTTTCTTCACCCATAGACTAAAAAGGCTGGGTGATCTCAGAGGTGTTTAAGTACTACCATTCTGGGATGCCATTCACCAATCTTGCCTTTAGCTCTAAATTTTATTTGGACAGTGGAATGAATCTAAAATAATTTTTCTATGTACTTATATGAATACACCATAATGAATTCCACCATCGTGTACAGCCATAAGATTGGGGTCCTAACTAAAATAAGATATATTCCATGCTTGTGTATCAGAATGAATTCTACAGTCATGTATAATGAAAAAGAACCAATTATATGTATATAAATAACCAATTACACACACACACACACACACACATATATGTCTAAATTCTATCTTGATATCTTTATTTTTTTTAAAAAAAGATATTTGCCTTAGAATCAACCGGCTTATGCATTTAGCAAAAGGACTCTTTGCATTTCACAACTGCATAAGCAAATTAAGAGAAGACAATTAATCCTTATCGACATATGTATGTGTCAGGTTATCCCTCTATAAAAAGTTAGGAATAGATTTGCTGTTTTAATTAGGATCACGATTTCTTCAGAATGGCCAGAGGCAAGGCTTCCGAAGCTCTGACATTTGTACAGGTGGTTTCTCACTTCTCTTTCTTCACCTCCTCCTATTTCCTCATATTACCTTTGTCCTCCTAACCCCAAGTGTCTCTGCTTTCTCAATCGTTTTTTTTTTTTTTTTTTTTTTTAATGGTACTGAGGATGAAACTCTCATGAATGCCAGGCACGTGCTCTACTACTGAGCTATATCCCTTGACCTTTTTATTTTAAAATTGTATTTATTTATTTTTTTGGTACCAGGGTTTGAACCCAGAGGTACTCAACCATTGAGCCACATCCCCAAACCCCTTTATTTTCTATATTTTTAAAAAATATTCTTTTAGTTGTAGATGGACACAATACCTTTATTTATCTTTATGTGGTGCTGAGGATTGAACTCAGTGCCTCACACATGCTAGGTGAGTACTCTACAACTGAGCCACAATCCCAGCCCTTCTGTTTTTTATTTTGAGACAAAGTCTTGCTAAGTTGCTTAGGACCTCACTAAGTTGCTGAGGCTGGCCTTAAACCTGTGATCCTTCTGCTTCAGCCTTCCAAGATGCGGGAATTACAGGTGTGCATCACCATGCTGGCCTATTCTTTTTTTTTTTTTTTTTAATTTTGAGACAGGGTCTCACTAAATTGTGGAGGCTGGCCTTGAACTTGCCATCCTCCTGACTCAGCCTCTCAGATAGCTGGGATTATGGATATGCACTACCTGCATTACTGCCACTTTCCCTTATTGCAGGGGTCCAATATCCACCTCTTAATTCCCTCATGCCTACTTTTATGTTCACCTCATTCTTAAAATTCTTCCTTATTTACCTATAAAGTTAATGTTCATTCTTAATTAGTTTCTAACTCAGTGGATATGATGAACTATTTGATTAAAAGAATTAGTATTAAGTTGGAAATAAATTGGCAGATTGTCTCATAAAAATATTGGTAAAATTTCAGATAGCAGCACTGTGAAAGAACTTTAGGGAGTGGCAGGAAATCTGGGAAGGTAGAAGACACATATAAAAGGCCTTTTGGCTTTACTGCCTTGCTGCTGAAAGCCGGGCCTAGGAGCAGCAGCAACCAAGCCCACTGTCGTTTGCATTTTAACAAGATAAGGAGTGTTAGTAGTTTGCAGGCACCTTAAAGTTTGAGAAACACTCGTTTAGAGTATTCCATACAGGCTTTCTCTCCTCTGTAGGGAAATGTTAGGTCAACTGTTGTTTGCGAGAATTTTTATTCTATGACGCCCAACTTTCTGTTTCTAAGCAGCCTTTCTTGTAATTACAGACCCAGGGGTGTAACTGCCACTGATAGACTAATTTGTAATTTAATACAGTTGGACAGAAGGAGGAATTATAAAAAGCTTTCATTTAGGATTCTAGCTCAGGGGCACATGCCTATAATCCCTGCCACTTGGGAGGCTGAGACAGGAGGACCACCAAATTTGAGGCCTGCTTTAGCAATTTAGTGAAACTCTATCTCAGGAAATAAGAGCTGGAGGCCAGGCACAGTGGCACATGCTGTAATCCCAGCAGCTTCAGGAGCCTAAGACTGAGTTCAAAGCCAGCCTTAGCAAAAATCAGGCGCTAAGCAATTTAGTGAGACCCCCTAAATAAAATACAAAATAGTGCTGGGGATGTGGCTCAGTGGTTGAGTGCTCCTGAGTTCAACCTCCCCGCCCCCCCAAAAAGGACTGGAGATGTAGAGATGTAGTTCAGCGGTAGAGTACCTCTGGATTCAATCCTCAGTACAAAAAAAAAAAAAAAAAAGTTTTCATTTAATGAATCATTGAAGGGAAGTAAAGCAACTGGAAATTAGAACACTATCTATACCGGTGCAGTGATAGAGTGGCAGACAATGATTGAATAAAAGATTCCAACACTTGTGACTACTGAAAGAGAGTATCACTGTTAAACAAAATTTATGGGAGACCATTGTTTCAAACTGCATTCCTCAGCCCAACAGACCAAACCAAACCAAAGTAGAACCATTGGTGCTGAGTGTTAAGTAACCCATCTGACTTTGAAATGGGCCAGCTTTCCCAAACAGAACAAAACAGGAGATTCACAGTGATCTGCCGGTTATTGCTGACATGTTGAAGTTTGATTAGGGAAGCACACCGAGGCAGGGAAAAAGGGGTAACATAGACTTCTCCCGCGAGGAAGAAGGGGGCCATAGCTGGTATCCTGGTATCCCAAGAAGCAAGGTGTTCTACCCTTTTTATAAGTCCTAGGATTCCTTTGTTCTCTTGCTCTCTCCCCCTATCTTTCTCCTTTCTGCCTGCAGACTAGGCCCAGGGAATGCTCGGTGGGGTGGCCAAAAGGTGGGAACCAGGTGGGCTGAAGCTGGAGGGGAAGGGTGGAGTAGCCAAGACTCATTAACAACCTTAGAGCTCACTGTAGGGAGGGGAAATTCCTGGAATAGGTTACCTTGGCAACAGGTGAGTAGCGGGCAGGTTTTTGATGAGATCCCTCAGGGGACAGTCTCCAACTTCCCAGACTCACTCAAAATTGGCCTCCTTGATCCGACCTGACTCGATTTACACTGACTGCCTGTCTAATTCTGGCTTCAGTAATAACCATCGGAAGGATCTTAGTTTACCTGAGCTGCATTTTAAGAAAATTCCATTTTAACCCTATGAGGGAAATCTGCTTATTTCTTCATTCTACTGTCTTCAGGCCTTCTCTGACTTTAAGCCACTCCCTCTGCCAACTCAGCAGAACACCCATTCTATTTTTTTGTAGGGGGAGGGTATAGGGGTTGAATTCAGGGGCACCTGACCACTGAGCTACATCCCCAGCCCTGTTTTGTATTTTATTTAGAGACAGTGTCTCACTGAGTTGCTTAGCGCCTGTCTCTGCTGAGGCTGGCTTTGAACTGGTGATTCTCCTGCCTCAGTCTCCCCTGCTGCTGGGATTACAGGAGTGTGCCAGGTACCCATAGAATTTTATAGAATGCGATTTGATTGATTGTAGAACTGCAAAAAAGCTATTAGATCTTTAAACTAAATTTGTTGTAATTTTGTCTTTTGACACAAGAACAGGATCACTACATGGTTGCCAGGCTATTATTGAAGTGTGGAGGAGGAGATTTGGTTGTATTTATGTTCAATGTATTAATGAAGGTAGCCAAAAGAATCCAACTAATTCTACAAGTTTCTTTTCAGCTTCTGTCTCCTGTCCTGGATGAAGCCTTCTCTGACTCTTCTTATATCCCTGCCTTTGCTAGGTGACCAGCTGTTCTGATTTGTCTGCAGGGATCCTGGTTTTCTCATTGAAGGTTCTACATCCCTAAAAGCCTCTCAATCCCCAGCAAATGCACGCCAGGACAGTTGCCCACCCTACCTACACTCCAAGATGGAGGTACCATTCCCTAATTTGAACTTCTTTAGCTCTCTCACCTTTCACCATTTATTTATCACTTACCATATTCTGCTTTACATAGTTGTCACTTTCATACAAGAAGGGTCTCCAAGAGTTGTTTATAAATTGCTTATGGAGAGAAAAGTGCCTTTCATTGTTTCTTTTATCCCATACACTATCACCAGTGGCAAGCGTATAGGAATCACTCAACAGATTGAAGGAAATAATCCATTTGAGGAAAAATAACTATTGCCAATTGGAAGTATGTTGGGCATGGAATTTCAATCCACTGAATCACAAAAGTAAAACTTAGGCAATCTAAATATTCTATATTTCTACTTTTGCACTGAAGACTGTTTTAAATGTGACTTCAATTTACCTTTTTAATCTAATCTCTCATTCCACTGTGTTACTTAAACTATGAGTGATGCAAGAATGTTCAGGGGATAAAAGAAGTCATCAGATGAGCATGGTATATTTTCCCAGAGAGGAATGTTTATTTAAAGATTATTTTGAATAGTCATGGATGGGGCATGTGAACTTTTTGCAACTAATGTGCTTTGTCAGATTTTTGTTTCAGGCATTATGACAAATTAGGTGTTCAGAGAACTCTTTCTGGCATCATGGAACACCCAAGAGTGCTGAAACACACACACACACACACACACACACACACACACACACGCACCACATGCACTACATGCACACACAAATACATACAGACTCTTTGTGTTTGTGTGTGTGTGTGTGATGCTGGGGATTGAACCCAGGGCCTTGTGCATGTGAGGCAAGCACTCTACCAACTGAGCTATATCCCCAGCCCAATACATACAAACTCTTAAAAGATAAACTTAGACATGTAAAAAAAATTTTTTTTATACCGTGGATTGAACTCAGGGGTACTTGGGGACTTGGCCACTGAGCCACATTGCCCAACCCTACTTGGTGTTTTTTTCTTTTTCTTTTTCTTTTTTTTTTTTTTTTTTTTTTTTTTTAATTTAGAGACAGCATCTCACTGAGTTGCTTAATGCTTCGCCATTGCTGAGGCTGGCTTTCAACTCAAGATTCTCCTGTCTCAGCCTCCGGAGCCACTGGGATTACAGGCGTGCACCACTGTGCCCAGTGCCAAAATTTTAATAAGTTTATTTGACCATTCAGCAATTCAGGAATTGGGTCGCACCAGTCTGAGAGGGGTTTACTGCTCTACCAAGGGAGGTGAGAGGAAAGACTTTCATAAAGTGTTTGTGAAAGCAAGACAAAGAAAATATATTTGGTTGGCTAAAGTGGACAGTCACTAGTTAGAGGTTAGTGGGTGGTTGGGTAGACTTGAGTTTATTCATGCAGCAATCCAAGATGCTGTGAGCCATCTCAGCCAAATGACCTACCAAATTAAAAAAAAAAAAATTGAACAGTTTTAACAACATGGAGCTATAAAATGTCTGGCCGAATTGGTAGGAAAACGTGAAACCAGCAATGCCCTCAGGTGTTGATATTTGTTCTGGTGACATCTGTCTACATGAGAGTCCTAAAGCTTGAATTCTGCCTAATGCAGAGAACAGGGGAGAAAATAAGAATTGGCCCTATGGGGAAAGATGAGATGGAAATCCCTACATGGATCTGGGAACTTCCCAAAAAATACCAATTCAGCAAGTAAAATAGGACAAAACACCATGCGAAAGATTCATCAGACATCCTTGTCCATTTCAATCTAAGCTTTGTTGGGGGAGAAATATGTTTTTTGTGAAAGTTCCTAACCATGCGAAAAGCAAAGCAAAATCAACATAAAGTTCCCGGTAAAGCTGAGTGTGGTAGTGCATGCCTGTAATCCCAGCAACTCAGGAGGCAGTAGGATTGGAGTTTGAGGCCAGCCTCAGCAATTTAGCAAGGCCCTAAGCAACTTAGTGAGACCCTGGCTCAAAATAAAAAATAAAAAAGCTGGAGAGAGTTCAGTGGAGAAAAAAAAAAAAAGCCTCTGGGTTTAATCCTCAATTAAAAAAAAAAAGATTCTGGGTGAGAATTTAACTAATTTTAAAAATTATTCATTTACCTATTTGTTTGTTTAGTTGTGGTGCTAGTGCTGGGGATCAAACCCATAGCCTTGCCCCTGCAAGTCAAGTGCCCTACCACTGAAACTATACCCCCAGGTCAAAATTCAGTTTCAAGTGGTCTTGGTAGTTGCTACTGCTCCACCTGGCAGAGTAAATTCAAATACTTTCTGAAGGAATATACTTTAAATCTGGACCTCAGAAAAATACCAAAGAATATGAGCATACCCATAGTAACTCTATGTTTAACTTTTTGAGGAACTGTCAAATTGTTTTCCAAGGGGCTACATCATTTTTCATTCACAGCAATAATGTAGGAGGGTTCCAATTTCTCTACATCCTCACCTGCGCTTGCTATTATTCATCTTTTTATTATAGATATTCTTGTGGGCATGAGTTGCTTTTTTCCTAATGTTTAATGATGCTAATCACTTTTCATGTGTTCATTGGCTATTGATACATTGACCTCAGAGAAATGTCTATGCAAGTCCTTAGTCCATTTAAAAATTGGGTTATTGTATTCTTATTATTGAATTAAGAGTTATGGATACAAAAACCTTTTAACAAATAATGTTTTATCTATTTTTTTCCTATTGTTACTTGTACTTTTGGTGTCATGAGTTAGAAGTTATATGTAGACGTATGATATCCAAGGAAGCATCACTGACTGCAAGGCCACAAAAATATAGGCCAATAATTTCTCTCCAATGATAGTTTTATGTCTTAATTTTTTTTTTTCCACCAGAGATTGAACCCAGGAGTGTTTAAGCACTGAGCAACATCCCCAGTCCTTTTTATTTTTATTTTTTATTTTGAGACAGGGCCTTGCTAAGTTGCTGAGGCTGACCTCAAACTTATGATCCTCCTGCCTCAGGCTCCCTAATCACTGGAATTACAGGTGTGCACTACCACATCCAGCTTAAACATTTTTTGGTTTACACACAATAATTGGACATATTTATGGGAAGATTTCTCAATATAAGAAAGCTCAAATAATAAAAAAGTATTGCTGCATATTCCAATCATCAAAATTTACTATTAAAAGAGCAGAGGGTAAGCAACAACCAAGAAGATGTAGCTATAATATATTTCACCATGTGCAAGAAAAAACACAATGGGTCACCATGTTCTCTTAAAGAAAAGGGGAACAATAAAACATCATGTCCCTGAATGTCCTCTTTTTGATCAAAAAGCTAGCCAAGCTGGGCATGGTAACAATACCTGTAATTCCAGCAGCTTCATGAAGATGAGGTAGAAGGATCACAAGTTCAAAGCCAGCCTGAGCAACTTAGTGAAGCCCTAAGCAACTTAGCAAGATTCTAAATAAAATACAAAAAATGGTTGGGGATATGGCTCAATGGTTATGTGCCCCTGAGTTCAATCCCCGGTACCAAAAATAAGGGAACACTGACAGCAAGCCTGGGTTGGAATGTCCAGATACATATCTTGAAGGACACTGGCTTTGTCTTTTGCACATGAGGAGCTAGCTCTGTTGTAGGGACAAAGGAGGCAAGGCACCAAAGATAGCAGGAAACAGTTTTATTTGGCTGCAGCCAGGTTCAGAGGGTACAGCTTTTGCTGTAATCAATCAATCCCCTGAACCCCGAGTTCAGGGAGTTTCAGAGTTTTATACCATGTAAGGGGAGGGGCTCAGAAGTTCACAGTCTGCAGAAGTTCACATAAAAGCAACTTTTTTTTTCACTGTTTTGGGCATGTTAACTCTTCAAGGACAACACCTGAGAAGGGGAGAGCTTCTTCTCCCCTTTTTTTCCTCCCCCTGCCAGTTGTTACCATGGAGCCCATTTGTAACGTTTCTTAAAAATGTAGACATCTCTGTGAAGCCCAGCTCAAGGCCAGAGGCTTTGTTTGCACATTTCTACAAAGTACTATACTGGATATGTTTGTGAAAAACTAGTAAGGAGTGTCCAGCCCCTGGAGTGCTGGTACCTTCCTGGCCAGTGGCCAAATAAAATAGGGCAACATGAGAATAGGAAGTTGATCTACATTGGACTCTTTCATGGAGACTCTTTTGCTGACAGTCCTAAAATCAGCCATGGTGAAGAGAGCTTTTCTATGGAGAAAGGGGGTGCCACTTCAGCTCCAGTAAGTGTTATCTGTAGAAAGCTGCTTTCTTACCCCAGGGCACTTGCTGCTTGGGATAGTGGTCTTATAAGCAAAGTAAGCAAACTAAGCAAGATCATGTCACTGATCTTGAAGCCTAACATATAAAACTCCACTCTCAGTGGTGACTGGGGCAGAACTGAGGGCACTGTGCAGAGGATACGTGTCACTTGTGGTCAGAGAACCACCGCTGAACAAAGAGCTATTAGGAATGAAGGTGCTTTTCTCTGGAGCACGCTTTGAGGGACAAGGCCCTACTGGTTCAGCCTGTGGAGCCACTGAACTCTCCTTGGAGCAGTCACTGATCCAATAAATATTTCCCCAATAAATCATATGCCTTCAACGCCATCTCTGGGCACTTTCTTTGGTCTTTCAGTAACCTACCCTTCTGACCAAGTACAACTAATTGTGGAGTTGACAATCACTAAATACATGAAAATCAGGGAAATTCAAACTACAACCATGCTCATATTTCCTGTCACATGTGTGAAGGTGTTAAGGGACATCTCTACAGGTACTTCACTGCTAGTTAGGTCTCCCTTACAACCACTTAGGGAAACGTTTTGGTATTTACTGTTCTGGAGTTCTCTGCCTGGCTACGAACTACCCCAAACTTATTTTAACAACTTAAAACAGTGTCTGATACTTTCTGTGGGATAGCAAGTTGGAAAAAACTTAAACAGCTCTGTAATCACTTCTTCTTTTTCAGTTGAACATTTGGAGTTGGGGCAGCTGGGGACTGGCTAAAGTCTCTCTTCATGTTGTCTCAGGGACCCTCCTGATGATCTCTTCACATGGGTTGATAGAGCTCACATCACGTGGCCTTCTGGTCTCAGGGTGGTCAGAGTGCTTACGAGACACCTGAAGTTTTGTTTTGTTGTAGATGGACACACAATACCTTTATTTATTTATTTGTTTGTTTATTTATTTATTTATATGTGGTGCTGAGGATCAAACCCAGTGCCTCACATATGCTAGGCAAGCTCTACCACTGAGCCACAACCCCAGCCCCCAGGAGCTGAAGGTTTTAGGAACAAGTATTTGAGTTAACAAAGTAGACCTGCATGACCCTTTATGAAGGAACATTGTAAGTCACATGAAATGCCTTCTGCCATACTCTCTCTCGGTTGTAACAGTTGCAAAGTCTACCCAGTTAGAAGAAGAAAAGGTGTATAGACTCTACCTCCTAATGGAAGGTGTGGCAAAGTCATCTTAAAAAAAGTATACATGGGATGGAAGACATTTTTATGGCGCTATAGCTTATATCTGAAATGCCCCTAAGGACCATGTGTTAAAGGTTTTTTCCTAGCCTGTGACTATTGGGAAAGGTGGAAATAAGTTAGGTCATTGAGGGTGTGTCCTTAAGGATATTGGGACTTTGACCGATTCCTGTTTTTCTCTTTTTGCATTCCAGCTGCCAGGAGGTAAACAGTTCTTCACTACCATGCACTCCTGCCACAGGGTATTGTGCTGTTACAGACCCAAAGATATACAGCCAAGCAACCGTGGGCACAAACCTATGAAACTCAAGGCCAAATAAATCTTTTCCTTTATTAAGTTGATTATCTCAAGTATTTTATTACAGTAATGGAAAGTTAGCACAGAAACCGTCTTTAGAAAATATGATCTGCCACAAGAATTGTGTATTAAAATTGAAGATTTATATACCTTTTTTGGGGAGGAGTACCAGGGATGGAACTCAGGGGTACTTTCTCACTATGCCACATCCCCAGCCCTGTTTTACATTTTATTTAGAGGCAGGATCTCACTGAGTTGCTTAGCACCTTGCTAAATTGCTGAGGCTGGCTTTGAATTTGTGATCCTCCTGCCTCAGCCTCCTGAGCTACTGGGATTTCAGGAGTGCACCACCTTGCCCAGCAAGATTTAAATACTATTTGACTGTAATTTCACAGCAGGTATTTGCCCTAGGGAAATTCTTTCCTATGTGCACCTGCAGACACAACACTTTGTAACTACAAATAGCAAAACAACCAAAATGTCCAGCAAAATTGGAATATTGTTCACAAATAAAAATGAATGATCTTCAGCTACACACATATTGATGTGGATAAATCACAAAAGCAATGTGCAGCTCAAAAGGCACATATAATATATACACTCATATAAATAATATAGAGGTCACAAGTAAGTGAAGATATTTATACTACTTTATGATGTATAGTTTAGGAAGATTTACCTTTGAGATAAATAAACTATTGAGAAAAACAAAGAAATGATTGCTCAAAGGAATTTTGAGACATTGATTTTAGGAAGGGAGAATAGGCCCAAGCAGCAATCTGGGGCAGGGCGGGTATACTGGGAGCTTTAAAGTTCTAAGATATTCTATTTGTTAGGTTGAGTGGCATTTATTTAGTGGTCAGTTATTAATTAATTTTAGAAACATGTATATGTTATATGTACTCTCATATTTATAATTTCTCAAATATGAAAAATGAGTGCTTATATGAAAGACTCAGTCATATTTATGAATGAGTAAAACCAGCAGAAACCTATTTATTTTATTTTATTTTATTTTTGGTACTAGGGATTAAACCCATCCACTTGAGTCACTGGGAGTAGAGGAATGTGCTAGAAACCTACTAACCAAAGTCTACTAACCAAAAATAGAAAAGTCCTCTAATAATATAAAATAATCTTATTTATTTTATTATTTTTCTTGAGGTACTGGGATTGAACCCAGGCCCTCAGTTTTGCTGGCAAGCACTGTACCACTGAGCTACCTCCCCAGACCTGGAAAACATTATTTTCATATAGTACTATTGATATCACAGAGTAGGAGGCAAAGTTTACATTCATTTTAAAGATAAAACATGAGACTTCAAAGATTGAGCGAGGGATGGGGCCAAATGCCTGAATTCTGGAGTGAGCATTCAGATTTACTCTTTCTCTAAGCGACATTTTGACAGAAACTATTGAGAAGCCTTGGGTTTTCTGACCTACTTGATGACTCAGTGTCTCCTGAACACATCCTGTTTCTTCTTACTCCATGATATTGTTCCTGCCATTATCTCTACCACAAACTTTTCAAGTCATAAAATTGCCTTGGTAAAGAGGGCGTGGGTGATAAGGCCACTGTTTCTTGCCTGGAACTAGCATGATTTCAGCCTAAATTCTGTGTTGTCACAAAAGGGAGACGATCTTCTTAGGTTTGTGCAAGTTTGCTTTGATCCAAAATTGAGGACAATACGAATGTTGATTCATCCTGTTCTCAAAATGGTATAGCCTATGAGGGAACTATTTCCAGTTCATAGCTGGAATTCATCAATCTAATCCAATCAATCAAATTAATGGAATTGATTAACTTGAATTAATCAATTGATTTGATGAAATTGGTTGCCGCTTAAAATTATTTTTGTTATTTAGAAAAAGGAAAAATTATTTTCGTTACTTAGAATTATTTAGCCCCAGCAACTTAGTAGGGAATTTTAGTTAAATTTCTAACAGATGGCGGCTATTCCTTATATTGCTAAAACCAACAGAATTGTTACTTGAATTTTTACTGGTAGTTTCAACACTTAGATGCTAGTGGCATTGGAAGGTGGACTGTTAGAATATTGCAAAAAGGAACTTATAATATCCCTGAAGTTTAATGTCTCCTCACCTCTCACTCTAAAAATCATAGCAGGAAGATGTATGTCTTGTTACCACATACCAGCCAACCCAGAGTCAGTGAGTCTCTCACCTATATAAATTGCTCATTGTGTCAAAGGACACTCAAGGATGGAGCAGACTGGGTGAATGGGTTCTCAATCTTGCTTTCCGTGTCCTGAGGACAAGAGACTAGAGTTTCAACACCTGTCACTCCTGCTTGCTGGGTCTTGAGGCATCCCTCCCCCTTCCCGTGTATGTGATCTCTGACATTAAAAACCTGTTTATCGAGTGCCTACCATCACTGTGCTGGACACCAAACAGTGGAACCAGGAAGGGGTAAGATAATATTTGCACTAAAGGAGCTTTACAGGATGGTGAGTGTGTTTGTGCATAGGTGTGTGGGAAGATAAAGTCGAGGGAGGTCAGAAAGTATATAAATAACTGAAACATAAGGCGAAGCACACATGCTGTATGTAGGCACACCAGTAACATTTGTGAGATTAAGAGATGAGGACAAATTGAGACCCACATGCAATTAAATCTTTAAACATTAAAATCAAGTTAATAACACTCTAAAAATATACCTACATAACTCAACAAATAATCCTTCATAACAACTGTCAGGTTAATGGAGGTGACTAAGGAACAAAGCACCAAGCAACTCTCCCTCAAAAGAAACACCTATCAGGCACTGACAGAACTGCCTGTCAATCATCGTTTTTTTGTGTATGTATGTGGTAGTGGCTATGGAATCCAGGTGTGCTCTACCAGGGGTCTCCTGGCCAATCCTGCTCCCCCTGACCCACCAACTCTAGTAGGACAAGGGACTCTAAAAACCTATTTTCCTGTTCCAAGCCCTCCTTTCCTGCCCTAAGCCCAATAAAAATTCCAGTCTTGGGCTGGGGATGTGGCTCAAGCGGTAGCGCGCTCGCCTGGCAAGCGTGCGGCCCGGGTTCGATTCTCAGCACCACATACCAACAAAGATGTTGTGTCCGCCAAGAACTAAAAAATAAATATTAAAAAAAATTCTCTCCTCTCTCACTCT